CAACGTCAGCGGTCATGTGTTTCTGTTGACGCTCACCCTATTCGTTGCCCTGACTAACGAGGTGCACAAATGGTCGCATATGGCGAAGCCCCCCGCCGTGGCACGGTTTATGATGTCGTGTCACCTCATTTTAACCCCGCGCGGGCACCGCAAGCATCACATTGGGAATCATGACCAGAGCTACTGCATCACCACCGGGTGGATGAACGGGGTTCTTGACCACGTGAACTTTTGGCGCGTGGCTGAGACCGTCGTCACGGCCCTCACCGGGGAGATTCCGCGCGCCAACGACAAGTACCTGCTGGGCAAGTAGAAATGGGGAGAGGGGGAAGTGCGCAGCTTTTGGTAGGAGGGCGGCAACAATGTAAAGAGAAGGGGAAAAAAGAAAACAAGGAAGAGGTAGCAGGGGCAGTGAAACTTAGTTTGAAGTCTGAGGGGAGCTAAGGGGAAAAACAAAATGGCATTCAACACCGCTGTTGCTGCTGTTGTCGTTTGTTTCATCGTTTTCTTTTTTTTTTTTTTTGTTGGGAAGAAGAGGAAGAAGGGAGGGAGGGAGGTTTACTTTTACACCGAGATGCCACAGGCGCGCTCATGCATTGAAAGGGGAAGTGAGAAAATGAAAAACAAAACGAGAATAGAAATGAGGGAAGGGGGGGGGATCTCAAGAAGAAAGACGAAGTATATAAAACAGACTTAGCATAGCGGACGTGCAGTTGCCTGTCCCCCTCACTCGGGTGAAGAAGTACGAGATTAAAAGAGGGAAAAACTTCGTAATAATATTAAACAAACAGGCAAACGTAGAAACTGGGAGAGAAGTTCAACGCGGATTTGTGGCTTCTGCTTGTGCATGGCATTGCCAACAGCTGTCTGTGAGTGTGCGTTGTTGTTGTTGTTGTTGGTGTTGTTTTTGATGCGCCCTTGCGCCGCGTTGATTCCACAGCAATTACGGCTGTGTGGCGCCCGTTGTTTGGCGTTTGTCTGTCGAGTGTATTATTATTACTATTACTTTGGTGGTGCGCATTTGCCTCACTTCTCCGGCCTGGCAGCTGGCGTGGGGGGAGGGGGAGGGGGACTGGGAGGGCAACGGTTGCCGTGTGTGTCAAATACATGTCCACCGTGCGTTCACTGTTTTTGTTCATATCCCTCTCTCTCTTTCTCTCTCTGTGTGTACTGTTTCGTTGAGTCGTTTTTTTTTAATTATTATCATTTCAGTTGTTTGTGGGCGTCGTTGCGGGATCTCTCCTTGTGGCGTGCCTGTCTGCCTCATCATACACGTTCTCTCCCCTCCCTCCATGTTCAAGACTTTGTTGTCCTCCACCCCTCGTGTTTGCGGTCCTGTTAAAGGAGCTCCAGCAGTAATGCTCACACACCACAACAAAGACGCCGGTGCTGCGGCAGGCATTCGCGTGGCTGTGACACACGCGGGGCAGAAGATGCTGCTTGTGTTTCCCACCACGACAGCGACAGTGGGCGACTTGAAGGATGAACTTGCACGGCGCAGCGGGGTGCCGGCCGAGAAGCAACGCTTGATGTTCGGTGGCCCCGTGCTTAAGCGGCACCGTCGTGAGGGACGCAATGAGGTGCGGCTGATGGATCTAATTGCCGCTGAGCCGCAGGGCGTCGATGGAGTGGGGGCGTCCGCCGCCGCCGCCGCCGTCACCATTCCGGTCATGCTGGTCGGCTCCGCCACCGCCGTTCCACACATAAACGAGGAGGCGATGGCGCAGCTGCATCGGCTCGTATCTACCACGGTGGAGCTTGACAGCCGCTGGTATCGCTGCAGCTACAGCCGGGGGTATGCGCGGCAGATCGCCTTTGTCTGTCGAACATGCGTGAGGAATGGGCGGGCGAACCCGGCACATGCCCTTTGTTATGCCTGTGCGGACGTCTGCCACGCTTCGCATGACGTAGAAGAGTGGGGGGTGCGGTACTACATGCGCTGCGATTGCTGCACTGCCGCGTGTTGGCATCAGGTGGTAGAAAAGGAGCCCGAAGTGAAGGGGAACCAAGGTAGCGAAGAGGCACCGCGGCTGCACGAAGGCAGAGGCGCGGAAGACGAACCCCAACATTGTTGCTTTCTCATTGACTCCGCCACAGGGTTGCCCCCAGCAACATCTGTGGTCCCCTTGAACAGTAAAAATCGCTATCCGCGTACGCTGAACTCGTGGTGCTACTGTAACTGCGAGGACAACTTCCCTGCCGATGACACCGATGGTGGTGGCGTTGTCTGTATGTTGTGTACAACCTGCTACTGGAGTTCGCACATGACCTGCCTCTACTCTGGTGCATTCCGGCGCATTCCGTGCTATGGAGACGTGCTCGAAGGTGCTGTCGTTGCCTTCCGCTGTCGCACCTGTGACACACTTGTCTGCACCCCCTGCCGGTTACGCTGCCACAAGGACCACGATGTGGATTCCGAGTATATTATTCCTTCTCGCAAGGATGGCACGGGGAATGGGGCCCCGGAGGGTGTCGAGTTTAGCTGTGGGTGCCGCGGCTGCTGCTCCATTGCAGAGGCGGTTCCAGAGGCGGAGGTGGAGGATCCTGCCCTGTACATGTCTATGCCACCGGAGGCCGCTGTGGAAATAATGAACAATGACCCATTTATGGGCTTTGTTTGCGCTCACTGTATGCAGGAGTACCCGTGGCTTGTGGAAAATGACCCGCTTCACTGTTATGAGGGTGTGCTGCCAGAACGTGTTCCTACAGAGCAGCATAAACGCGTCGTGGCCTGTGGGGTCGGAGCCGATGCTAAGTGTCCAAGCGACGTCTATCCGTTTCACGGCATGCTCCTCTCGGTTGACGCGTTTACAGCGGATATGACGTGCAAGTGCACGCCGTGTCGAGAGGCGTACGAACGATTTGCACCACGCGCCACCACCGCCAGTGTTAACGAGATGATGTTGCCGTTACACGACGCCTGCGACCACTGCGGACATCCGATCCGGGACGAGCAGGCCTTTATGTGTCAAACGTGTGAGCTGCAGCATGATCGCACCTTTTTTGTATGCCAGCGCTGCAACGCGCTCCGCATAGCAGAGGGTATGCCTCCCCTTGGCGAGGCTGGTGGTGGTGGTGGCAGAAGCAGTGGCAGGGGTGAGGATCACAATGGATCGACCTGCCCAAATGAGGCTGCAGGTGTAGACCCCTCCATCGTCCATGCTGTTGGTGTGGGTAATGATAACAGTAATAAAAATAATGAGGGTGAGGAGGCTGTCGCACCGTGGGACCACCCGCTTTCTCATGTGTTTATGGAGGACACGTATGAAAACTTGTTTAGTCTGTGCGGCATGCAACTCATGCACAACCTGGACGCCGCGTCGCAGACGTATGTGTTAGAGAACATGGATGCTACCAGTGCCACGTTTGAGGGGGCGGTGCAGCGCACCTTTGGACAAACACCGGTGGTATTTGACCCTGACGAGGTTGCCAGGCACCACCAGCAGCTCCTGCGGCAGCGGGAGGCAGCAAAGGAGCAGAACGGTGGAGCCAACCCCTCTGCGGTGCCTGGGCAAAAGCGAATACGCGGCGGCGAAAATGGTGGTGGGGACAAAAACCGAGACGTCGATTCTGAAAAACGCGGTGACGGAGGAAGTGGGAAGGACAAAGAGGAATAACGTGCTGCTACGGTTCTTGCTGCCGCTTCTCCTTTTCTCTTTCTCGTGTGCGTGTGTGTGTGAGAGAGAGGGAGGGAGGGAAAAACGGAGTTGGGGCCTTTCGAGTGGACTGTGGATGCCGCTGTTTGTGGATGGCCAAAGAGGGGAGCAACTCTTCTTTTGTGCTTCTGCGTATTTGCTTTTGTGTGCCTCTGTTTTCTCGCCGTGCGCTTTGGATTTGCAGGCGTCTCCGCCGCATCAACGATGCCACCTGTCGTGGGGCGGGGGGGGGGGAGGCACTAACGCGTACGTCACTTTATGTTTTAAGTTTATATTATTATTTTCCGTTTTTTTTTTTTTTGGTTCTCACTGTTTGTCACCTGCATTCTACGCACGTGGTGGGTGCCACACGTTACAGGTTTCGCTACAGGAAGAGCGTTGGGGGAAAAAGAGCGCAACAGGCGGCGAGAGGAGGAGGGAAAGGCTGCGGCGAGCTTCTGGTCCGGCGTGGGCACTCACAGATGAAGGTGCGGATTCACTTTGGCGCGAATTCCCTCTTTTCGGACGCGGAGGATGTGGAGAGTCTTGCCCACTGCATGGTACGCCTCGTGCAGCTCGAATTGCCGCATCAGTTTTCAAAGTTTGTTATCCCGCACGACGACGCCACCGCGCCCCTCGTGACGGCACACGGAAGTGCGGAGCGTCTAACACTCGCGCGCCAGCTGCTGGAAGGAGAACCACTGCAGCATGAGGGCCAGGCAAACTCCAGCCAGGTGGAATCCAGAGAGCTACTGTTTCAACTGATACTGGAGGCGCAGACAAAGGCGTTTGGTCCACTTTTGGTCAGTAACCGGGGACAGTGGGAGTGGACAAGAGAGGTTCTGCGGCGGGAGGTACAACCAGTTGCTGCCGGTATGCAGGGCGTCTCTTCCGACGGTGCTGCCGCGGATGATGGGAGCGCCAAGCGTAGTGGGGAAGATGCGAAGGCAAGCGAGGAGGGTGTCCCGTTGGAGGTGCTCCTTTTGTACCGCTGCCCCGAACGCAAGTTCCTGCGGGTTTGTAGACGTGACATGTTTGCCGCGGCACCGGTGCTACAGCACATGCAGTGCGGCGTGAGGGCTATCAGTGTGTTGGATACCCGTGGCAGGAAGATGGGGGAGATCCGTTTTGATTTCACTCACCCGCCGCCGCTGCAGCGGCTCAAGCGCTCTCTGCAGAAACTTCTCTGCTGGCCGTACCTCATTGACGTTTCGTACCGTGTTGCAGAGGAGGAGGAGCGCTTGCCTGTCAACACCGACGCCGACGTCACCAACTTCGTCCACAGCGCACAACACTTTGGTTACCAAAACATTCGCCTCATTGTGGCTTTGCCGACCAGCTCGTGTTTGCCTCCTAGCCTTAACGGGGCGGCGGCTTCTCCCACGAGTGACCCGCACCAGAGAGTGTCGCACGGCAATGCATCGTCACAAACAACGGCGGCCACCTCACCATCCCCGTCACCGCCTGCTTCAGGTGATGCTCCCTCCGTGTGGAACAAAAGGGAAGAAACAAGAAAAATGGTTGCCTCGTATGTGCATCTGATGCAAGGGTTGCGCTGTGGTGCCGCCGGCCTGCGAATAGCACCGCAAAGGAAGCCAGTGACGGGCCCCGTTTGCGGCGTCAGCGTGGTCGTTCCTGCGGCAAATGTGGTGGATGCGGTAGACGCCGAGGCTGTGGCCGCCAAAGCAACGTCGACAACCACGTCGCCAACGGCGCCGCTCCCTCTTAGTGAGGTGACGCTGGCCGATGGCGGCGAGGGTGCGACGGGGGCTAGGCGACACAGTGGCGGGTTTCTCGTTGTACGCTACGACCTTGACCCGCTGGAGGTGCATGTGACGGGGCCGATCACCGAAGTGGAGCTTGAGTGCCTTGCCGACGCCGTTATTGCCCGCTGTGCGGGGTTCAGTATGAGTGGCGAGGGGAATGGCTCCAGCTGTTCTGACGACGCCGCTGCTGCTGCGAAAGAAACGTTCCGGAGGGTATCGGATTCCAGGTACACTTTGCGACTACACAAATACGGTTCACCCAACGATGCGCAGGTGGCGGAGCTTGAGGCGTGCCTCGTGGACGTTATCAGGGGTTTCGGCTGCCTGCAAGTCACTGAGACAAGGGAGGAGGTTCTCAGGTGCGTCTAGGCGGGAACAACACACCAACGGCAATGTACGTTGGAAAAGACATCTGTATGTATGTGTGTGTGTGTGTGTGTGTTTGGGGGCACGCAACTTGTGGCATTTCCCTCACTTGGGCTGCTGCCTGCCTGCATATCTATATCTGCCCTGCATCCTATCCCCTCATTCACCTCTTCCTCCTGTGGTGGTGGTGAAAGCACAGGGGAGGCCGTGTGGCCGCTGCAGATGGCTTATATGTAGTAATGATGTCGATGGTGCTGGGGCTTGCGGTGGAGGTATTGCTTCTGCAAACTGCGACATCAAAGATGTAGAAGGAATTGCAGTGACGACCCTTATCACAGTCCTCACCTCCCATGGCGGTGGCTGCGCATGGCCCTGAGCTGCCTCCATGGCTTGTACATGTGTGTGTGTGTGTGTTCTTTTTTCGTCATTTACTTGTGTCGTTCATCCCTTTACTTTTTTCTCTCCCCCTTTCTGTCTGTTTGTCTCCCTCTTGTTTGTGGGGTGCCGTTAGGTGTCGCGTGCTTGACAGAGAAGGTGGGGCTTATCTGGCAACCAGACCACATTTGGCGATTTGTGTGTGCGTGAGGAAGAGGGAGGGGGGCAGGGACGGGATTACACTTACACCTGCAGACCAACACCCACACGAGGACAGTATTTTACAAAGTCTGTGCGACGCACGGTATTACTTACCCTGCTGCTGCTGCTGCTGCTGCTGCTTCCACTATCACTATCCGTATCACCGCTGTCAGGTCTGAGAAAGAGAGAGAGGGAGGCAAGTACAGCCAACGCAAAGGTGGGGTGAGTAGCAGTCATGACCTTTGATGCATCGCTGGGGAGCACCCCGGACGTCATCTCCATCGACAGGCCCATTTTGACGCCGAGCCAGGAGCAGGAGAAATGGCTTGGGGAGGCCGTGCAGGCGGTGAAGGAGAATGCAGCTCGCATGAAGACGTACATCCGTCAGCGTGATTTCACTCAAGTCCTGCGCAACGCCTCACAGATGTTGTTGGAGCTTCGTACAGGCATGTTGACTCCGCAGCACTACTATGAACTCTACATAAAGGTGTTTGACGAGATACAGCACCTGGAGCAGTATATTGATGAGGAGCACAGCCGCGGGCGTTCTCTGGACGAGATGTACGAGGTGGTGCAACATACCGGCAACATTGTCCCACGTTTGTACCTCCTCATCGTCGTTGGCTCGGTGTATGCCAAGTCCGGAGAAGAGCCTGTCGTTGAGATTGTTCGGGATTTGGTGGAGATGTGTAAAGGGGTACAGCACCCCACAAGGGGGCTTTTTCTACGTCACTTTTTCTTGACAATGATGAAGAACAAGCTGCCTGGCGACAGCGGCCGTGGAATCGTGAACAGCCTGGAAGCTGATGGCGGCACGGTGGAGGACACAGCCAAGCTCATTCTGCAGAACTTCAGAGAGATGAATTGGTTGCTGGTCCGCATCGAGGCGAAGGCGCCACCGCGGTCCATAGAGCTTCAGAGTCAGCTGCAGCAGAAGCAAAAGGACCGCAAGGAGCTGTGCGTGCTGGTTGGCATGAACATTGTGCGTATCTCGCAGCTAGAGGGGGTGGAGCGCCAGGCGTACAAGAGCAGCATCCTGCCGCGCTTGCTGAGCATTATTGTGAAGTACCGCGAGCCCCTGGTGCAGCAGTACCTGCTGGAGGTTATCGTGCAGGTATTCCCAGATGAGTTTCACCTTTTCACCCTTGATGAACTGCTCGGTGCCCTCGAGGATGTCTCCTCTGGGGTAGACGTGTGCGCCACACTGGCCTCCCTCATGGAGCGACTTGGCAACTACGCGACCTCGCTGCAGGAGGGTCTCGCGGAGGTGAGTGGCCGCAAGGAGGAGAAGCTCCTGCAGACGATGTTTGACGTGTTTAAGGCGCGCCTCGACGCCATGCTGGCCGCAAGCGAGGCGAGAAATAACAGGAGCATGCCTGACAGTGGTCTTAGAAGTGGTGGAAACAGCGGCAGTGGGGGCGGTTACCCAAAGCATCCCTTCACACTCACCGCGTACGTGCGGGCGATGATAAGCCTCGTTCGTCTGACGCTGAGGGTGGACAAGGCGGCTGCCGTGGAGCACATTGGTGCCGTTTTTACCGCCGTGGCAGGGCAACTCACCATCCCGCTAAAGGAGTCTATGGCGATGGCGATCGAACGCATGATTGTGCACGTGATTGAGACGCTAAAGAACCCTAATGTCGTCCTCAGCATTGTTGGCCTGGAGGTTATGATGCAGAAGCTGTCGTTTGCCTCACGACGGGTGGTGGCGCTCAAGTTCTGCATGGTCAGCGGGCAGTCCACGTCACACCGTATCCGGACGCTGGAGTTATGTGCGCGGCTCTTTGAGCTCCTTGCCCCGCTGCTGCAGGATGAGCCAGACGTACCTGTTCAACGCCATGTCGTGGGGGATTCTCGTGAGGAGCAGAACCTCGTATGTTGCGTACTGCACCTACTACAGTCTGACGACGTCGCCACGCAGCTGAAGATGCTGAATGGTGTACGGAAGCTACTGGGGCAAGGCGGGCCGGGACGCATTGCCGCAACGCTGCCGACATTGGTGTCACTTTATATCCGTCTTGCGCTCCGCATAGCAAACACGGTGAATGTAGAGGGGAATGGCAATACCGACACCTTGGACGTCGAGGGTGGCACCGCGGCAAAACGGCGGGTGCCATGCACCAAACCCTTTCAGATCATTCACTCCGGTGACGGGAAAGGCATTCTTGAGATGCTTGCCGATGAGGAGCCGGCGGAAAGCTTTCATCTCTACCTCACCAGTGCCAACGCCGCGGACACGTGTGGTCTGCCCGATGTCGCATACGAGCTTTACGTCAATGCTTTTCAGCTTTACGAAGAGAACGCCGCCGATACACGGGAGCAGATTGAGATGGTGACATGTCTTATCTCCTCCCTGTGCAGCCTGCGCTCCATCACCGAGGAGAACTACGAGCTACTCGCCACCAAAGTCTGCCAGTACAGCTCCAAGATGGTGCGAAAGGTGGATCGGAGTCGCGTGGTTGCGCTCTGCGCGAACCTCTTCTGGAAGAGTGCCCTCTCCGAGGAGAGCCACCACCGGGTGCTCGAGTGCCTCCAGCGCTCGCTGAAGATTGCAGACCACGTGCCGGAGACGCAGCGACTCGCGCTCTTCGTTGAACTGCTGAACCAGCTGCTGCACTACTATGCCACGGATGCGCCCGGGGTGACGGTGAAGAACATCTCCACCCTCATCGACCTCGTGCAGGAGGCGACGAACAGCTGCAATACGGCCAGCACGAGCGACCCTGACGGCACCGGTAGCCGCGAGGTGGATGACGTGGAGGATAAAAACGCAAGCCACACGTCGGACGGTGGCTCCGAAAAAGAGGTGTACGCTGCGGCTCGCACATTCTACCGCAACACGACACGTTACATCCGATCGCGGCAACAGGTGGATGAACGCTGGAAGGAAATTGATGTGTAGGTCACCCTCCCTGCATGACGCTGCAGTGACGAAGGGGCATTCAGAGGGAACTACGCTGCTTTATCGTACTGGGCGGGGCGCCCCAATGGAGGCAAAAGGTGTAGTAGGGAGTAACAGGCAAACACAGGGGAGCACGAAAGACACAACAGACAAAAAAAAATGGTAGGGGAAGTTGTGTAGAAATTGGGACGTCTGTTGCTTTTTTCCTCCCTTTTTGCGCCTTGCGTCTGTGATGAGTGCTGTGAGTTTTTTTTTTTTTTTGTATTACTATCATTATTGTTTGCTGTTTACTTTGGTTTCCTCGTCCTCCCTTCTGTCTTTCAAGGAGGGGGGCGGTATTACCCAGCGACTTGCGGAGGGAACTTCTGTGCAGCCTTTGCCATGCGAGGGGGATTGCGGCCGCTGCTGTTGCTGTGTGTGTGTGTGTGAGAGAGAGAGAGAGAGTGAGTTTCCCTTCTCTCTCTTTCTCTGCACGGAGTGTTAGACAGCGGTACATGGAAGGCATTCAGAGCGACCTGGACGTCATCCGCGGAGCCCTTGCAAGATCCCTTTGCCACGCGGCCGCAACAGCGGCAGCTACAGCGTACGATGGGGATACGGACAGGCGACGCGGTAGCAGTGCGGAAAGTCCAGGCAATGGTGGTCATCCTCCGAGCGGTGCGCTCCAGCCCTCAATCACGGACGCCGCGGTTGACCACGATGGGCTGGAGTTAAAGAGACTGCATGAGCAGTTGGCTCTGTTGTCCTCCTGCGAGGCTGAAAAGGCACGACTCGAGGTGGAGGTGGCGTCCAAGGAGGCGGCGCTGCGGCAATGTGTTCAGGTGTCCCACACCGTGCTGCAGCGGGAGAAGGAGCAGCAAGAGCAGCTGCATCGTGCCACGACTGCGCTGCAGGAGAAGCAGGCAGAGCTGACGATGTGGCGTGAGCGACACCAGCGGCTCCAGCGTGAGGCGGACGTGCTTCGGCAGGAACTGGACGCCTTGGCTGGGCAGTGCGACCGCCTCGAGCTGGCAGTGGGTGAGCTGCGCGAGGCAGTAAAACAGGCGACTGCGGAGAATGACAGATTGCGCACGACCCTTCATGAAACGGATGCGGAGTGTGAAGTGCTGCGGCGCCGACAAGTGGAACATGACGCCGTTGTGGAACGCGAGGCCGCACTTCAGGATGAACTGCAGGCGATGCATGCAACAAATTCTGAGTTCCTTGCGTACTTCACAGCGGCGCGGGCTGAGATTGAGGCGCGGCAGCAGTACTGGGCCTCTGTGCAGGAGGAACACGCCTCCCTGCAGGAGGCTCTTGCTGCGGCGCAAGCGGCTGTGTGTGTGTGGGAGGCACGCTTTGTGTCGGAGCAGGCGGTTCCACCGCTGTCGTCAGGGGACGTGGCGGTGGGCAAGCAATTATTACCCCCAACTACATTGCCCCACGACGCGATGAATGCGACAACCGTCGCCAGCCTTTCTAGAGACGGTAGCAAAGGGGGTTCCTCTGCAGGGGACAAGGGCGAAAGCCACGAGGCCCTTTTAGCTGCTTTGGAGGCGAAAGTTGTCGATCTTGCGTTGCACCTGCAGCAGCAGCGCGTGGTGGCGCAGGCGGCGGAGGAAAGTTATGCCACACTTGCGGCCGCTGTGACGCTAGAGAGCCGCGAGTTCCTTGAGATGCGGCGCTTGCTTGCAGCGCAGAGGCCCGAGTGGACGCGTCTCTCGGACACAAACGAGCACCTGCAGGCCGCTTTGCTGGCACGTGAGAGTCACGTAGAGGCGCTGCAGGAGTTGGTTGTTTCCCTCCTCGACGAACTCACCGAGCAGTCTTTGTACTGCTACGAGCTGGAGACACAGCTGGCTGTAAAGGTCCATAAGGACGGTGGCGTTTCCTCCACCTCGGGCAGTGGTGGGGTGGGTGTACCGCGTCGCTCAACCGCCCTGTATTTTATGCAGCAGCAGCAGCAGCAGCAGCAGCGCTTGAAGGCTTGCGCCAGCAGAAGGCCGAAGTAGTCGTGTCTCTTCATGTGTCGCCTGCCCCTCCTTTCTTTGGCGTTGCGAGCCCGCACACAAGCGTTCTGCCGGGTGTATCTTTGGAAGGGAGTGAAGCAGGTGACATTTTTTGAGGGGGAGGAAAATTAATCATTTGTGGTTTCGTTTGGGGTTAAGGCGTGAGTGTCTTCGTTTGCTTTTCAGATGCACAGAGAGAGAGGGGGG